ACAATTGACTTTTAAGTTAGCACTTTCAAAATAGTGGTTCAATTAGTTTCGTACGCGTCTTATACTGAAGTTCATTCAATAAACTTTTTCACCTAGTTCAAACTACATTCAATATACATATAAATTTTAATATTTATTAAAATTTATAAATCATGTCTAAAATTGGGAAAATAGATACAATTGTAACAGGACGTAAGCCTATTCTCAAAATGGTAGACAGTATACCCGATATATTTAAGGGCAAATCAGCTACGGGTGCAAATCGGTCGACCATAATAGACGTCAATGAGCTGTTGAACTACGAGGTAAGGGGTCTCGTGTCGGACAGCATACTCCGTAACCCCAACCATCCCGAGGCCACTGACTGGACAAACAAATTACTGTCCGAAGCGTACGGACGACCCCTTTTAGATACCAATGATCTGACGTGTTTCACAGACATGTGTTATACGACTGCCAATAAAAAACACATGTATGCTGCCAACTATTGGTGTGTATTTGCGTTTATGATGGATGACTACATGGACCAGATTGTCATGGATGATGCGGGCAAACAACAAATTTGGTAATTAATTAATGCAATTTATATTTATAACATAAATTTAGTTTATATACAGAGAAGATCGGTATAACTATGAACAAATTCAAATTGTAATAATATTTTGATTGTTTAAAATATTTGTATGTATTATATACCATATTAAAGTGTATTTATCAGGGTCTAAAATGAATATACATTTTTAGTAATAATTTTGAGTTCAATCAAATTAAACCCGATTCTAAGGAGGGACTGCTCAAAACTATTTTACTGGGTACTGACTAGTAATTATATGACTAAAACATTGAATTGTTTTTTAAAAATTTTAAGAATTAACGTTTAATAGTCTGATATTGTTAATTTCATCTATAAATTTAGTAAATCTAAGTTTATACAGATCTGTAATTATCACAAAACAAGTTTTTACAACTAACACAAAAATACAGTTATTTATGGCCGATACAAATAACATATATAGGAAATCTGTGATAAGACGTTAAAATTGTTCCGCAAACTTTCGATGACCACTTAATTGGGAATTAATAAATTATAATAGTTTAAATAAAAATAGTTTTATAATAATAATTACTGTTCATAGTTATACCGATAATTCTCTGTATATTGTATATTGGGTGTCTCAACATATCCCAACTACTTTACAATAATATTAAATCAACTATAATTACTGTATACCAAAATGTTGGAAATCTATTGAATTTTATAGGGAACCATAAAATATTCATAAGATGCATGACCTGGTTATAATCTAAACTAAACTGAGTGTACAGTATTTGAAACACACAAAAATGCGCTCATTTCTTATAAGTTATAACTAGAGATGTAAGCCCTTGTAAGTTACGTAACTTACAACCAAAAAATAACTTACATGTAACTTACCAGGGGTGCAAATAATTGCTATACGGTCCCAAATGATAGGGACTGTCTCCTAACAAGAATACACTATATGTGAAAGATTTGTAGACAAAAATAAGCCCAACTTTGATGTGAATCGAGAGAAATGCACACAAACATCGTTACGCTAAATAACATTTGTTGTCCACATTTTTATTCAAAATCCCATTAATAGTAAAGAATATAAACAAAAAGCTATATATTGGATGAAATGCACCATAATTACTATCAATTATATGAATCAATGCAAAAATTTATATTATGCAGCATAAGTATGCTAAAAACCCCTGCTAAAAATTCATTAACACCCCTGCCCTCCCACTCCCTTTAATGTAACAAACTATATGATTTAGATACACAAACACAGAGGACGCTGTGTTTGGAAAGCGCGTCAAATATTATTGATAAATATTATTGTTTATGCATCATGTCAATATTTTAGTGCTCCCAAACAGCTCCCATTTACATCCCTGGTAACTTACAAACCCATTACTAGCGACACCTATTGGCAAAATATCTGAAACTCACTAATAAACTTTAAATTTTACATAAATTTAATTAATTTTCGAAAATACATGAATTTAGTTAAATTTGTTTATTTAAGTAATAATTCTATTACTATTATTTTGGTTTTTATGTAAAAATGAATTGTTTTATATTCATAATTCAACAATGTTAGGTAAAAATATTTATATGTGATGAAATAATAACTTACGAAAAATACCGTAAGTTACGTAAGTTACCGAGTGAAAAAATAAATTACATGTAATTTTCATCTCTAGTTATAACACTATGAATACAATCATTAATCTAATTGATGCTGACTTTCAGCGAAAATAATGCCTCTATACTCGTCAAATAGACATTCATTCAGCAAAACTCAAATTATGACCAGGGTATGCATCTTAAGAATATTTTATAATGTCTGTAAAATTTTATTATAAATGTTTTAAATTGTAATTGTAAATTTTAAGATATTTATATTTAAAGCAAAATTAATATTAATTCAAATTCTAGAATAATGATGTTTAACTATAACAATAAGTAACAGTACAATATCAGTTTTTTTGTTATATTGTAATTCTTATCTGGAAATCAATGAGATATGAATGAGTCAAAGGAATAACCGGGTATCTCTATAGTTAAACACTATGTATTATAGATAGTGTGTTAATCATGTACAATATTGTATTATTTATAGTTAATACTATTAACTTAATAGTTCAATACATAGTGTTTGAATATAGAGATAACCGGTTATTCCATTGACTGACTCATATATTTAATTTACATTGCCTATCATCAAAGTTTAAATTTAAATATTATAAAAATATTGATTTTTAAAACATCATATTCTCTATAATTATCAGTGAATGGCAACAAAAGTACAGAACCGGCAAAAGCGATGGGAAACTCGGTTTGGATAGATTGCTGGTCCGGACACTCGAACTGAATCGCCAGTACCTGAGCCCCGATCAGTACGACCGACACGTGCGAGAGGTTTGTGAGTGGATGGGCACGTATTTGACTGTCAATCCAACGAAATACAATGCCGACCACCAAATGCTTACATATGAACAATTCTGGATACAAAGGTAGTTTAATAGGGTACATGGGCTTTATGCTATTATAGCAATGTTGTTATGTTATAATAATGTAGTTACTATAGTATTGAAATGAATGCTATTTACAATAATTATCAACTTAGGTACGTAATGGTCGGGGAGGGGGTTAAGCGTATGAAAGTGTATCTTTTTCAAATAAATCATTATCTGAATTTATAGACTAAAAGATCATGCATATTCAAGCATTCACAATAAAATATTTATGATTTTTAATGATATTGTCCGTGAATTGTATGACCAGGGGAAAGGACAACGCCGGCGGATTGGTTTTTTTATTTACGGAGTTAAGCGTAGGTTTGGATCCCATTGAGCACGGGTTGACTACCGATCCCATATGGATATCATTTAATACGGCTGCAGCCAAACAGTCCATACTTGTGAATGATGTCTACTCTGTCAAGTCGGAGGTACCCATAGGTCAGGCTAAATACAACTACCAGTACCTCATTATGTGGCACGAGGGCTGTTCGGCACAGGAGGCTGTGGATCATATTGTTAGCGAGATCCATTTCCAATGGGAACTTGTACTGGACTTTGGGGAACAGTTGAAAGAGTATGGGATACCTGCGCTGAGCGCATACGTGGATGAAGCGGTTCATGAGGTGAAGGGTAACCACTTTTGGTCCACTATTTGTCGCCGGTATTCATGGGATCCTAAATACAGTCATTATATTAATACTGGCGAATAGTTACGTACTGTATAGTTGGCAACCCTGGTGTGTACCTAGGGTAACCAGATCCAAAACTTGAATACTTGAAAGTTAACTCAAAAATACTTGACATTAAATTTGATTTAAGGTTTAACGGTAAATATTTTCACTTAGCGGTAAATTAACAAAATTTAGATAACTAACAATTTAATTATGCACTTATAACCAATATTTGAATTAATATAATTATAGTTATTTTTATTAGAATCCATATGTTTTTAATATATAGTATAATTTGAGATATTTTTTGTAACTTATTTAATACTCGACAATAATTTCCTGATTATAATATGAAATAAAATTAATATTAAAAAATACTGTTGTAATAAAACTAAAATATTTTGCTTTAGAAAATAAAATTATATTTATTATTACTTATAATCATATTTTTACTTTATCCGTTTACAATTATTGTTTATTTAACATAGGCTAATATCGTAAATTTTACATGATTTAATTATACATTTAATGATAATACAAATTTTTAATCAATAAAATTACCAAAAAGATTTATCATATAAATTAAGAACATAATATTATTTTTTAAAATTGTATAAATAAATTGTTAAAAATTATTTTAGATTAATACAAAGTATAGTGTTTATTTTTTATAGAGTAGTAAAGTAAATATTTAAAAAATAATCTGTGTATTGCTTATTAATATAAATTTTAATAAAGTAATAAATCTTTGAATTTATTAGATTTTTAATGTATTAACATAAAATTAGTAAAATGTTTTATTCTTGATTTATTATTAATATAATTAAATTTATATAAATGTCGAGTTATGCCATTGAATCCAATTATGTAACTGTGATTAATATTAATTTAATAAATTATTATCTGGTACACCAATGTCCTCAAAATATCCGGTTCCTTTGGTACGAACGTAAAGTTATAATCACTAATCATTTATAAATTTTATTTCAGATTTCATTGTTCTAACGTAACTAACTGTTTAATTGATTCATTTTGCTTCCAGTTGCTTTTCAATGACTAAGTTTAAGCTAGTCATATTATTAATTATATTAATTTTTATATAACTATTCGTTTTATACAAATAATCTAAAAGAGAATTTTGACTCAAATATTACGAATGTTTAATGTCTTGGTTTAAGTATGATTTTCATGCCATTTAGCTGGCTGTTTATCAGAACATTAAATTCTGTACGAATAATCATGTCAGCAAATGCTATTCATATCTAGCGTTCCCAAATTCAAAAATCAAATTCCTTGAGAATCTCTATTTTTACCTTAAAAATATCCTTAAGTTCCTTGATTTTTAAAAAAACTGACCATAAATTTCCTTGAGGTCCATTGAAATGGTCATATTTTTTGAAAATATTTCCTTGAGCATATGACCGATTCCTTGAAAGTCCTGCTTGAACCTTGAGATTTGGGAACCCTATTCATATCTGTTACAAATACCTCATTTTTAGTTTTATGATTTTTATACTTATATGAACACAATTATAAACAATATAATAGTGAGTACGAAGCCACGGGTCGACTAACCGGTGGACCGAAAAGCTATTTTATTTATACATTTATTTTATATTTCTGGTTCAATATATCGGATGATTCCTGACTAATATAGGCTTATCTTTCGCTTCTTACAAGCATTTTTTGCTTACGACTAAATATCAAAATCTTTAGTGTATAAAGTCTATGAGTTTAAGTTAAAAAGATATTAAT